GATAACTTGAGAAGGCCTTTATGGATTGTCTTGATACTTGGTAGGTGGGTAGGTCTTGATGAGACCTCAAAATGATTAGATTTTGGACCCTCTAGCGGCTTGTTATGGTACTGCAGCTGAACTTCCGGTTTTGATATCTCATGATCTAGACATGCTATGGTGATGAAATTTAGATGGTAGGTAGCTCTTGTGCTGGGAAAGAAGTGACGTGAGTTTAGGTTCCCTAGCGGCTTGCTCTGGAACTGCAGGAATAAATTCTTGAAAATATTCAAAAGGGGATAACTCAAGAACCGGTTGACGGATCGTCGTGATTTTTGGTATGTAGGTAGCTTACGTGATGCTTAATATAATTATGTGACAATTATGCAAATATGGATGTAATTTGCATAATTTATGGGGGAAATTCTATAAATCAGCTGCATTCCATGATAGGACAATTGAAGCTTGTGACATTGGTAATTGACAACGAGAGAAACACAGGAAGATATTGATTATGTTAAAAAGAACTTAATTTGCATAATTAATGAGAAAATTTTATAATTATGTAATGATAACTGCCTGGAATTTCATACTTGTGGTATTTGAAAGTTAAATTGAGGTGAACATCATTAAACATAATTTATTGAAATCAGGACCTCATTTGCATAATTTATTAGGAAATGCTAGAATGCATTCTTTGTTAATATAAGACTTTTTGTCTTTTGGTTGAGATTATGATAAAACAATATAATTCATGAAAATTAGGTTCCTATTTCTTAAATCAGGGGGGAATAATCTAATCTAAACTTTGTCAGTCATAAAGATTAACATCATTTGGCGAAGGTATGAGATCGGGGAACTCTAGTATTGTAGTATATATTTATATGATCATTTTCTTCGATTGACTGGAGATGCTGATTCCGCGTATAGTTTTGATTTAGTCATGATGGAATGGATAAATGGATGAAATGAGTAAAGGGAGCGCGCGATATACAGCTGAATCGGAACGAGGGAGGTTTGGACACGATGATCTTTTGTTCGTGAAATGTACGCTTCTGTTGGTCTTGTTTCACTCTCGAGGGATGGAAATGGAAGAAATCTCGGCTACTACTAAGAAAACTTAGAATCCTGGACATTTGTGTCGAAGTTCAACAGAGGGACGCGATGGTTTTGTAACGTTCACGAATGCAGGTGGCAGCCGGTGGATATGGTTTTGATTATTTCAATGCAATGTGCTTTGTACAGTTTGGCTATTAAATATTATTACAACTAACAGCAGGTCTAGAAAGAGTAGCGAGAACTATTTGGATGAGTGAGTGCAGCCATTGTCCTGCAGTTCAAAACAGTTTTCCATCATACGTCCATAACGGAAAGTGGCAGGTCCGTCTGATTTGGGAAAAAGGTTTGCCGTAGATCTATCAGTCGTAAATGTCAGATCCACGTCAAGATCAAATGCCAAGACCATCAGCGCATTATACTAACGGCTTTAACAGAGGCTAGTTACAGCAGGACTATCATAGGTAGAGGCTGATAGTCCAATGATTGGATCATGATGGATCGTCCAGCTCAATTCTATTCAGAACAAATGGGTTAGTTCACCTACCGAACTGAGAAAAGTTTTGTGGTAAATTTGTTCACGATGGATGTCAAATCGATGAAGAGAAACCACCATACAGCTGACCCTGCGCTAGTGCATTGTAGTATTGGCGACTTTGATGAAATTGATATAGTTGCAGGAGTATCATCATAAGTAGAGGCTGATATTCCAACGATCGGGTGTTGATGGAGCGTCCATCTCGGCCCTATTCCGGACAGAGGGGCGGGTTGACGTACACGAAGACGTTACACTCGATGCAGACGGCGAAGACGAGGAACACGGCGTACGTGATCATGGCGGCCATGCCCAGCGGTCTGGTCAGGCGCCACTTGTTACAGTGAATGCCCAGGATCTGGATAACACGGAGAAAAGATACACAAGCTTAGTACTACGAAATAGGAAATTTCAGACCTGTTGGGGATGTAGAGGGGGTGATCGTACCCGGAGGTAACAACCCTGCCGTAACCCAACCTAACTCAACAATGCAAAAGTTGGATATACTCCACTCACCATGAGAACTACGGTTCCGAAAAGCAGTCCGACGGAGTAGATCATTCCCCGACTATTGATGGCGACCTGAGAGTGATAGCAAACACATACTTTATCAGGAAAGGATATTAAATGCTATTCTATATTACACACGTTTCAGTTTTCAGTTTTATTCAGATCCACAATTAGCCTCATAAGAGGCTATTCTTCCTGTGGTCTACACATTCATATTTACATACATATATTACAAACGTACAAAAACATTACAAAATTAACAGTACATGGCAAACTTTACACAAATTCACTATTTACAATCCAGTACTTTGCTAGTTGCCTATGTTATTCCACTTGTGTGACATCCTGTACATAAAGCGCTTTTTCTGAGAGTTTGATTTTGGTTTTGGTAGTCTGATTTTGTTTGTGCTGGTTGAACGTGTGCTGTACTTGTGGATCTCAGATTGGAATGTGATTTTGTCGTACAAGGCCTTTGGTTGTTTGGTGAGCATGATACGTTTAAATGTGACAAGGCTTCTCTGTTGGATTCTGTCCCTGACAGTCAGCCATCCTAATGTCTTCAGCATGGTGTCCACATGTGCATCCCGATCACAACCAAGAGCTAGCCTTGCTGTCCTGTTCTGGACCACCTGTAGTCTTCGTATGTTGTTCTGTGTTGTGTTTCCCCATACGGAGCAGCAGTAGTCTATATGTGGGATTACACGTTCACGCATTTGTCTTTTCATAATACCTCTCTCTCAATGTGTCTGTTTGTGTGTGTGTCCCGTGAAAATGTTAATGAACTCGTCTTCCTTACCGATCCTCCCCAGGAGACGATGGTGGTCTTGAGAAACCAGGGCAGGCCGAGACCCAGTAAGATGTCGAACACGTTACTCCCAATACTGTTGGACACGGCCATGTCCCCCAGACCTGCCATTACAACATTCGGGGACACGTGGTTAACGACACAATCATTCATTGGTTTTCTTTGATCTTGTTATTTGGAAAGTGGTTTTATTCGCTTTTAAACTACATGTGCTGTATTGGTGGCGGCATAAAAATAAGTTGGAAAAACTCGACTTTGCCGTCACCACGTTTTGTGATTACATGATGGAATAAAAGAAATACTTGTTCAACTTAGAAATATTGATAAATACAATTACTTCTTAAAGGGGCCTTGCCGATTATGTGAACAAACAAACAAACAAACAAACAAACAGACCTTGCCGAGCGACGATGAGGCTGGCCATGGCGTCGGGTACACTTGTGCCTGCTGCCAGAAGCGTGATGCCCGTGATGGTGTCCGGGATCCCCAGAGTGTAGGCGATGATTGTAGCCTGAAGAACAAGCAGTCCAATAAAGTGTTTTGTGTAGCCATGAATGTCATACCATCATAAGAAACGTAGCATGAAAGTTCATATGTGTTGGTACAAGTTATTATTCAATAAAGACTAAACTATAACTTTCCTTCCAACACTGAAATGAATCCAGTTTTTTCGGCTGACTCCTTCAACCTTGTTCACGGAATGGACGTCCGAGAGTAGACGGGTCCATCCCGGGAGATCCCGTGAACAAGGTTGAAGGAGTCAGCCGAAAATTAATTTGTATGTCCCTAATTCATTTCAGTGTTGGAAGGAAGGTTTAGTCTTTATTTCATAATATCTTATGACACTTTATTAGCATTTTGGTAGTGTGCTGGAGCATTATTATGATCATGTGGTGGAATTACCCGATTGAAACACATGATCATGTCGAAATACCCTATTGAAACACATGAATTACATGGTCTTACATATGTGTGACAGGGTTTCACCACTCACCATGAACACCATGATGTAGGAGAAGATGAAGATCCAGAAGATGGACATCAGGAAGGTGACGATGAACCATCTTTCCCAGCGGCGCTTGCGCACGTCAGGACAGGTGACGAACAACACGACAGCGCACGGCAGCATGACGACCCACCGGAACTTCCCAGAGAGATCGTCTACCAAAACAAATTGAAGCATTTGATGAAATGTCTACTCCACTTGATATACTCCGATAATATATAAGCTGTATCCTTAGGCCTAGTTTGGTGTCCTCTGGAGAGGAATATGCGAGTAACAGTCGTTGTTACATGAGATAATTGGATAAGAAACACGCGTGTCAAAAGGAGCACAACCTTTCTTTCCCGAGCGGGGCGGACGTCTGGGAGTAGATGGACCGTATCAAATATCCCAGTAGATCTGCTCGTTAAAACCAGCCACCCATTTGGAATGGATGAATTCCCTAAGGCCCTGCACTCCTTCCCTTTGAACGATAATGACTTGAGTGCAAACTCGTTTGATTTGAAGGCCTCAAAACAATTAGATCCGCAGAGCTGAAGACCAATTATGAATCCCCGCCGTGTCGTTTTTAAAGATAAAAAATATACCACAGAGACCTCAAAGATAAAGTTTAGTCACGACGTTTCTGAGAGAAAGCAAAGCTTGTTGTCGGTACCTGGGACGTCACATATGCCACCCGGTTCCAGCTCCTCACTGTGAAGGTCCCCGTCTGCCAGACTCTGGGTCCTGAAACAACGACATATAGTGGACATTTTAAAATGTTTTCATTAAACAATATGCAATAAATCACTTCTGGCTAAGGAAGATTGTTTAGTTCGGTCGAGTTGATGGTTGAGCCTCTGCCTGTCCCAATTTCGTCGGTTGCACGGTAGGTTGGATGTAATTTAGACAGTTGATTGAAGGTCACGCAATAAAGGTCGTGACAGGTGGTAGTGAGGGGAGGAATTCAGGAAGTGCTTGATAACTCCTAATCAACTTACATCATATAATCAACTTCCACAGTTCCAATGCATTCATGAAAAAATACACAAAATACTCCACAGAGCTTCAAGAAGATGGAAACAAAGAAAAGAAAACATGGCGAACTAACGCGCTGTCGCTGTCCTGGGCTGTGATCGGGGTCTGCGGGGCCAGGCCATTGGGCATGCCGCCGGGCGGGTCCAGTCCGTACGTTGTCGTCACCACTACCTCGGGAACATCGCCGCCAATGGACGACTTGGTCGACTGCGATCGAGACACCGCCTGTGACACACACACACACACAAAAAAACACACGCATCACAAAATGTCACTTTGACCAAGAACTAGAAAATGAACTAGTCTCATGACATACGGTGTTTTTTTTGTCCATTAAGCCATGATGTGACCAGAGACACGTTGGTGTCCTTCCCGGTGTCAGTGGATCAAAAACATTTCTATCTCAATGGGTAGGGTATGTCGAATGTCTGGTACATGTATAACCTGATGGTATCGTTTCAATGTTTGTAAATTGAAAGATGAAATAAAAGAAAGGTTATCATTAGAGTCGGCATACTCACCGAAGAGGTCCCGCCGGAAATCAAGCCGTCCAGAACCTCCAGAGTCTGCTGGCTGTCATGCGGGTTCTGTCCCTGGTACTGAAGCGTCTGCTGCTGCTGCTGCAGCTGTCGCTGACACTTTTGTTCACGCAGCTTCTGTATCCTGGCCTGCTCTTGCATCTAGAACACGGGGAACAATAAGATACATATCACATATCTGTATTGCCAGTATAACCGCCCTTCGGCGTGGCGCGCCAGCAGCTGGTTATATTACACTGAATTGCGCCTAACCTTTACACATCAAGCTGTAAGTTCTGCTTGAATCTGATTGGAGAAAAAGGGGGATGGATTAAGACTAAGCAAGTTGATCTACTTGCCAGACGTGGCATCCGAAACTAAGCGGTCTGCACTTTCGGGAGGTAAACTTTGTGACCGTGTGTATCTGTCGATTCATGATCAGTATCACTATGAAGGCACGGATAGAGCCAAATATCTGTATATATATATATATATATGTTATATATATATATATATATATATATATATATAG